GAGTATAAAATCAGGTATAGGCCTTAGAAGGGGCCCTGAGAATTAAGCTTCATTAGCATCACTGTAAATTCACCTCTGGTTGTGACCGATATGGGATGCTTCAATGTGGGTATCCACAAGGGTTTATCAGCATATCTAAGGCAGGTATGGACTGTGAGTGGCTTAACTCTGGGTGATTATGTCTGAAGGTACATTCATTTGGGTTGAAGTATGACCTTCAAGGTAGCTGCTGTCATCAAATGTTTTTCTGAAGATGAGGCTTGTTGGCCTAGCAGGTTCCCTGGTTACATAAGAAGTGAGGACTCTGGGGTCTGCCACCTGACCACCCAGCCTGCAGGCTGCACCCAGGCACAGGGGAAGGCCAGAATCATGGCTGATTACCTGCCTGCAGGCCTAAGGCTTCCAAACATCTCTGGGGAGACTTGTCATTGGTACATTTTCTGGGGTCTGTGCTGCCCCCTACAGGTCCCATCAGCTTTAGTGAGCCTCTGTGCTTCTGTGCCCATGCTGTTTGTGTTTGGGATTTAGTCATCTTTATAGCTGAGACCAAAATAATCCAAAAATGGTGCACAAGATGAGCTTAAAACTTGCCATTAGTTAACAAGCTACCCCTTGTAGAATGGGACCCCTGTCTGGCAGGAGCTGATTTGCTCCTCCTCTCCTCAGTATCATCTGTTAGTATTATTGCAGCAGTCAGTGGGATCATGCTGGTATTCACTATCATGCCTTTCTTGAACCAATTTGGTTTTGGGTAGAATCACCATATAATTTATTGTCCAAACTGAGATTTTTGAGAGTGAAAGGAGATGCTGTTAATAATTATGCCAGATCAACAGGCCTAAGCCAGAAGAGTCTCAGGCACACTAGGATATATGGTCACACAGTTATAAGTCACCTGAGTCTGGGTGGTTTGTGACTGTGCAGTCTGACTACATGTTTGTGCATGTCTGTGTGTGGGTTCCCTGTTACATGGGACTCGTATTACTGGGTAAGAGGCCCGAGGGACGTGTGGCTTGCTAGTCTGTTCCATTAACATGCTTTTCTAAAACTGCTTCACTCGGTAATTCATTTACTCCTTCATTCATTGACTGTTTTTGTTCCTTTCCATTCACTTTGTACTTTTTTTTCATTAAATTTTGCATTTATTTTGAGTTTTTGTGGTGTCTTTTTTGGGCAGCAGCCTTTCTGATTTAACAAGTTTGCTAGCCTATTAATCTGCTACAGTAAAATATAGCTTGTTTTCTGTGAACTTTGTGGGGTTGATCAACTTCTATAGGAATTACATTTTAATAGTTAATTGTGCTAAGGGCATCTGTGAAAGGCTCTTGAATGGGTGTGGGGTGGAGGAGTCTTAGGAAATAGAAGATGCAGCCTGTGGTCCATGAGTCTTTATCGAGAATCTGGACGCAGAACATGAGAGAAAACAAACCCTGCCCTTTTAAGAGTTTATATCCTAATGGAGGAGGCTTGACAGAGGACAACTAACACTTTTCTTCCTGTTTGCTAGGCATTGCTCTAAAATGCATTACATGTATTCATTCATCTAATTTTCACAATAATCCTATAGTTACCATTTTCCCCATTTTATAGGCAAGACACAGAGAGGTTAAGTAATTACCCAAGGTCACACCGCAGTAACCGGAGGAACTGGCATCAGAATATTGGTAGTCTGTACCCTTAATTGCTGAGTTATAGCTGCTCCTTGGAAATGCAATAATGAGATGGAATAACAGTGGGAATGTAGCCAGTATTAAAGTGAGCAGTCTGACAGTGTGGGTTGGTGGATCTGAGACGGTTTTGTAGAGGTGGGATGCCCTGGCAGGTGTGCCAATATTTGGTTGAGGAAAGGCAGATTGGTGGTTGTAAGAAGTGATAACAAGCTCATGGGTCCATTTATTGAGGAACATTCTCTATTGGGCATTAGGCTAATTTCTCGGAAGTCCAAAATGAGGAGATGGGGACTAAGGTCAGGGAGCTGACAGCCTAGCAGGGAGACTGGTGTGGAAACACCCCTCAACTCTACCCATGGGGAGGCAGATAGCAGGGAGGCAAAGCCTTCACTGAGTTTGGAAGGCAGAGACTTCAGGACGCCAGGGGGAGGGCCTCATTGATGGAGGGGATAACATTCTACAACTCGGCTCACCCACTTAGGAGAAGAATATTCAGACAAGTTTAAATAAGGTCTGTGATGCGTATCTACCTTGCACTTTCCTTAGCCCATCTGCCTCTGAGCCTTCTCCCATCTCCATTTTCTGCAGCTGAGTCCTTCACCAATCCCTCTGTAGGTAGGGCAAAAGGAAAAGGGTTTCCATATTTCCACTATAGTGTTCCCCAATCTTTGATGTGAGTGGTTATGAACTCCTAATCTCAGAAGAAAAATGTTTGAGGGGCATAGGATGGGACCTAGGACCCCAAGGCAAACTTGAACAGCATAAACACTTTTTTAAAAGCCTCACAAGTGGAACTTTGGCAGTACAGAAATTGTCTTCCCCAATAAAATACTACTTCCAGAAAGATGGGGTAGTAAGACTGTCCCTTCCCCCTGTACTGGAGGATCACAGGTCAACATGATCTTTTCTTCAAGAGATGTGGAGTTGGATTAGCTCTGGGGACTGTGTGTACATCCAGGCTGCCTGGTTAAGAGGCCCAGATACCTCTCAGCAGTTCCCCAAAGTTAGAGACAGCCTGAGCTGGTGTGGGCCTTCAGGATGAGCCCCCACCCCACCCACCATAGTGCCCCCTCACAGTGCAAGGATGGAGGCTGAGGGCAGTCACAGCCACTGGTGGGAGCCGTGGCCATCACAGCATGCCACCCCTCAGTATCTCCATCTGTGCCAGACTAGAGGACAGTTATTGATAGGACCCAGAGGATGGTATTCCAAGTGTATTTGACTCATATCAAGCCTAAATGCATGGTATATCCAATACATGTAAAATTAGATTCAGACAGGACTGAAAGAAATTGGAGCTTTTAAGCTCCAACAAGAAAATTTGTCAAGAAAAGGTAGAGGTCTGTACTGACTTGCAGTACAGTTATAGTGTATCTGGTCCTTGATAACTTTGTACCTAGTAATAGATCATACTCCCCATGGCTTTGCACATTTACAACAGGCTATTCACAGTGGAAAGACTTCACAATCACCTCTACAAGGTGTCTCAGTCCCGTGTATCCCCAACCCTACTTATGCATCTCCACCATCTTTGCCCACGGGACGACTCCACTGCTTAGAGAATGGCTCTGTAATGTCACAGCTCCAGAGAAGCAGCTGGCTTCTCCCCCACTGCCCCGCTGGTGAGGACCTCCTCCCTCCTGGCAGCACAGTGGCTGGAGCAGGCTTGGCAATGGAATCTGCTCAGACCAATCGACAACTCTCAGAACTGCACCTCCCCATCACAGGGCTCACCTTGTAAGATTCTTTAGCATAAAAACTCCTCTGGTTAAGCTAATAAACTACTTTGCTTAATAGTAACAAAGGAAAAATACATGTAAAGCTTGATCAAAGTACTGTCCATTAAATGAAGCATACTTTATAATCCAGTCCTGGTAATGAAAGGACGTAAATCATGGCCAAGTCCGAGTAAATGCATTTGGAAAGACTCCCATTTTTGCAGTGGCTGGCAAGGTAGTTGGGGCTTAAAGTGCTACCCATGTGCTTGGTAGGAAACTGGAAGGACTTAGCTCTGATCGCAGGTGGAGCAGTGAAAACTGGTCAGTCAGGACCAGCTGGCCCTTTGGTCCTGAGCCAGGTCTACCTCTGACCTGATACTACAGCTCTGCTCGGGCGCCGACCCCAGCCCTTGCTCAAGAAGGAGAACCAAGCTGCAGTATGAGTACTGATTCATTACCCTTGGTCTCAGGCCCAGGGGAGAGGGAGGCACGGTCTGTCAGACTACCCTTCCCTCTAGTGACCTGCCTTTCTCTCTCGTTTTCTTCTAAAGACGCAAGGACTTTTTCTCAGTTGCTCTTCCAGGGCCCTCTTCCCTTCTTGTTAGAGAATCCATAAAACCTAGAATTTAGAGGCATCCAAGCAAGGATAGGTGGATTTTACACTCTTAAGGGCAGTGGAGTAGGGCACAGAAACTGGCAGCGAAACAGAAAGTCGTCTCTGTGCAGGGGGATGACCAGACTTCTCAGCTGTTGCTTCACCAGTCCTTGCAGCAGCTCAACTGCTCAATAGTGAGTTGTAATTAAAATAGAATGGTCATCCTCAAAGTAGAATAATTTTACATTCTATGTAATGAGCAATCAAGTGCCAAAATGTTAACATGGAACTATTTCAGGAAGGTTCAACTACCCAACTTAAGAGCATTAACTCCACCATCACAGGAACATCCATCTCCAACTTCAGTAAAAACTGCCGTTATCTAACTATGCATTCCATCTTACCTTGTCCATCCTGAGGGACTATGACTCCTCAGTGCCTGGTACCATGTACTTGTATAGAGGATAAGGGGCTGAAATTCACACAATATTCAGCTCAGAGTTGCCTCCTCCTGAGCTGGACATATCGCCCCCCACCCCCCATCCTCCTGGCCATAAGGGCTGCCACTGAGATGAGGCTTCTCTGTCAGAGAAACCCACTCCAGCGGTCCCGAGGAGGGAACAGGGGGCCCTACGCAAGTCCAGAGGGCATGCCAAGTGTGGAAAGCCTAGCCCTTGGGTAGACTCTTCACAGAGTCACCATGGCCAAAGCATCTTCTGGAGCCCACAAGGGCCAAGAAGGGCTGTGGAATCCCTTTTGAGAGCGGAGTACATCAGCTGAAGGGGCAAAATCCTGGTCTGGGGCAAAGTTGATGTCTACCTGTGCTTTCTTTAGCAGATCAGATATAGGAGCACACCAGTCGGGCATGAGTCTCTCCGGCTCTAAGGTGATGATGACCAAGGCCAGTGTGGAGCCCTTGAACTGCAGCAGCTGGTGGCCCGCCATACAGTGCTGCAGCTGCCTGGTCAGGGACGCGACGTGGAGGGAAGGATTCCTCTGAGGGAGCAGCTCCACCACATGGGGCCAGCCCAGGACCACCAGGGTGTGGAACTGGAGACCATGGTTTTTAATGTGAGAACAGAAAACCCCATACTTTTCGTATACTAATGACCAAAAGTGCAAACAATTTAAATTGCCATCAGGGAGCATCAAAAGTTGCCCAACCCTTTTCATTCCCATCCACAGCCCGACAAGGGGCTTGAGGCTTAATACCCATTTTGTGGCCAAGATGAGGATCAACTGTGAAGAAAAAAGTCTGTTTTGTGACATGGTCATTGTGAGGTTAAAGTACCCAGATGAACAGATGACAATGTTTCAGTTTTGAAAAATAGAAGCATACTATTCAAGATTAAAGTAGAAAAGTTACTTGTGTCTACTTGGCAGGAGAAGAACTCAGTGGCCAGTTTTCATTAAGAAACAGCTGTTAGTGATTTAATCTTCATGCTTCCTAACAAACCCAAATCCTATGACATTTCCACATTGCATAATTTTGCCTTACTAACAGAATCAGATCCTTAAGGATGCCCATCATTCCCTAACTAAAACAAATACAAACTAATATGATATTTTTTAAGTGCCAGATCAATATGGTCTAAAGCCTCAATAAGGATTGTGTGTAGGTGAATAAAGACAGCTAAGTGAATGTGTGTAAAGTGTAGCAAAAACAGACAGCTTTTTATGTACAGTATTCATAGAATGGAAAGTTAAAATATTTTTGCAGTGTATATTTAAAAGAGAAACCATAATAGTGCCGTCTAAAAATTCTTTGTAAAGCTAATTTAATGTCCTTTAGAAGTGGGAGTCTGGTGGAACTGTGTTGGATTCAAGATATATTTCCACTCTTCTGTGTGTCGTGAGCCTTGTGGGTCACCTCACTGTGGTGCATGTGCAAGGACGTGTGCACGCCTGTGCCTTGCCGTCCTATGTTCTGAACAGCTGTTCCAAAGGCACAAATTGAGTCTAGGGTAGACTCTGCAAACTCCTCGTACTTACTACGGTCACAAAGTCCAGCAGTGTCCCAATATAGAGGTCCCAGTGCAGTTTGTCCAAAATAGCCAGCTCCGTCCTCAGCAGCTCATTTGGGGTACAGCCGGAGCCATAGTGCTTTATGAAATCCTTTACATATGGAATTAACTGTAAAAAGAAAATAAAGCCACCAAAGCCCTACATCACATGGTAGCTTTTGTTTTTTATCCACGGGACTGGGCAACCATGACCCTAACAGAGTTGTCTTTCAGTGACCTGCCATATTTCTATGCTTCTGAAAAACAAACCAAACTGGATGTAGGCTGCCAGTCAAGTCCCCAGGTAGTTGTGATAATGTGTAGTGAATTTCACACGGTCACTCTCTGCAAACAGGTCTTGATCCTCAGCTGTACTTGAGCTCATACCCAGAGGTGCTTTGGAGGCTGGCACTGTGCCATCTCCCCACATTCAGCTGCAAGAACTCACCCAGTTTTCCAGCTGTGGGCTCTACCCATTCCAATTTCCAGTCCCTGCCATGATTGCTTGTCCTAGGGAGAAAAATTTATGCCTTTGAGTATCCTGGTCTTCACCAGATGGGCTCATTGATGAAACCTCCCGTGGTTTTGGTAACACCATAGCTGCAAACACATTCCCTTCAACCTTAATTCAAGGCAGTTCAGTTCTGGAAAAACTATGATTTTTCCCCAGAGAGATGAGTAAGGCTTGTTTATGAGTAAACATTCAAGTACCAAGGGCATTAAAGACTTGGTCCTACTTTTTTACATAAATGAAGTGTTACTCTATCCTCCAGGAATACTTTTTAAGGGTCAGTGACTTGATTTTTAGTTGGACAAAAGCAACTTTTGGGCAGCACAAATTATAATCTGATAAACAAAGGTTAAATGTATTTTTATTGAAGGTTTGGAACCAGACACACAAGTGACTTTTTCTGCCTCCTTGGACCTGAGATTTGCTAAGGGAGACCCTGTGGAAATGGCAGTGCTTCTGCTCTAGGGGAAGTGGTCAGAGGGAGGTTTGGGAAGGGTATTGGGAGAGAATCTTCTCTTAAACAGTGAAACTGAGAAGTTCAAGCAAGACTGAAGGACTTGTGGGGGCTTCTCCTCCATCCCCTGCCCCTATCAGAGAAGGATCCCAGGTCCCTGAAGGCCTATTTCATTGACAAAGCCACATCCTTAATTTTCAAGCAGCTTTCTTAGATGTATTCTCTGGGGGTGGACATTAGGCCACATGGTTTGGAAGGCTCTTTTCTTAGCTCAATGGCAGACGTATCTGCTTAGTGGGAGGTGGTATCTGGCATCAACCAGTGAGGCAAGATGTATCTGCTAGGAGGTCAGGCCTCTGTGTTGGCTGGACCAGGAGAATTTAGCTGTTCTAATTTCCATTTGTGGGGTCCTAGAGTTTGACAAGCCTAAGGAAGGGACAGCAGAGATCCTGGGAAGGTCCAAAATGCCCACCATTTCCAAGGGTACTTGAGTGGTTCTTGAAGTCTTCAGAAAACTTTGAGTGCTCCAGCATTACATCCCTATACCTCAAAAGCAGCCCAGAGTGGACTTCCAGCAATGTTTGTCTCCTCTTCCACATGAACTTTTACAGCAAGTCTCAAGGTAGTAGTTGCCACACATTGGAGTAGTCTCTCTCATCTGCAGTATGGAACAAACACATTTGAGCAGAACATGAATGCCAGAAACAAACTGTAAAGCATCTGTGGGTTTTTTTCTTTAACAAATTTTTTCCTTTTTTTCTTAAAAGGCTGTATTCCTCCACAAGAAAGTTAGTGCCATTTTTAGATTTAACCAGTGAAAACGCTCCTGATTTCATACTCACAGATGGCTAGTCTATGGTCCTGTGAGAGGATTGACTGGAGATGAGAAATATGACACCACCAGTTCAGGGAAATCACAGTCCCATCCTGGCCTTAGTCTGTGCTGACAGGTCTTGACAAGCACACTCCACCTCATCACACAGGAAGTTCCCTCCCAGCTAGGTCCTCTCACGCTCCCCAAGTCCACTGTTGATGGCCAGACAACACTGAGTCAGGCAGGCATGGTGGTAAGGATGTGGCGCTATTCCAATCAGCTCTACCACTTCAGGCACGTTACTTTATGAGCACCAGCTTGAGCTGGGATGGATCACCTTTCAGGCGGCAGTGGGGTGCAGAGGTCAGCTTCCACTCCCACTATCTTGTCATCATCACTTGGAGGCTTTCCTACCTTTACTGAAATGAGGCGGTGGCTGAAGATAGGGCCCGATTACAAGTGGCCTGGGAGAAGTGAAAAATGTTTTTAAGCCTCAGGAGCCACACCACCACTTCCTGGAAGGCATGGTGGACCTCAACCTGCAGAAAAGGGGAGGGGAGGGAAGGTGGCTCGTGGCCAGTCTCGGTCCCCCAGTGGCAGAAGGTGACCCAGAGGGACTGTGAGAAGTCCCTTCACCTTAAATCGCGGTTGGACTAAATGTCTCTCTGTCGCCCTGGGGCTCACTGATTTAGAACCAGCCCCTCCCCGTGCCCGTTTTTGGGCCGAAGCAAGAGTCCCCAACTTCAACAGGCCCCTCTTCCAAAGCACCTACTAGAAAGCCAGCCTCTCAGTGGGAAGCCTTGGAATCCGCCCCGGGTACGGCGCGGGGGACGCAGCTGGGGAGGGTCCGGGGCTCCTGGGTGCGGCTCACCCGAGCGCGCCTGCAGGGGGAGCCGGGCCGCGTCGGTGCGCGCCGGAGCAGCAGGCTGCAGGTGTGCGCCGGAGGGCACCGCGCCGCGCACCCGGGCCTGGGTTAGCGTCTCGCCACGGCATTCGTCCCGCAGGCCACCCAGCGGCTCGGCAGCCGCCGGCGTTCGGGCCGGAAGCGGGGCCGCCGGAGCTGAGCACGCGGAGCAGCGCCGGGCGGGGCCTGCAGCCGCGCCCGCGCCGCGGTCCTGCGTGGGCCGGCGCGCCGAGCGAGGCAGCTGCGGGCGCTCCCGACGTCCGGAACATTTTTCCGGGTCGCCGTGGGGAGGGGAGAGTCCCACGGAAGCGGCGGCAGACGACCGCAAAGGGCCGTTTCGCCCGGACTTCCAACCCGATGCTCGCCAGGACGCCCGCCCAGACCACTGACCGATGCTACTTCCGAGACCCACGGTGCGGCCGGGGCGCGCGCCGCGTCCTGCCTGAGCCTGGGTGCCGGCTTAGCCCGGCTCTTTATAACCCGGCCCCTGGACCTGGAGCTGCGGCCCCTGGTGAGCACGCCAGTCGGGGAGGAGGGCACGTGGCCACAGACCCCGCGTCGGAGCTTTGGTCATGCCCCGGGGGGCGCAGACCAGGTAGAGAAGTGTGGAGAGTGCGCTCCGCAACCAGACGGGCTTGGCACGGATTCCGACTGTGTGTGACCTGCGGCTTGTGACTTAACCGCCCAAAGCCTTGGTTTGTGAGGGGATGATATCACCCTCCCAGTCCTTCATTCGTGTGTTCATATTTCCATTGCAGTTATTTATTGAAGGCCTACACTGTGAAAGGCGCTGGGACATAACCGTGAGTAAACAGACAGAGAACTTAACATTCTAGTCAGGCCAGACAAACAAGAAAGGTGAGTAGAATATATGGAAATCCCAGCAATTCCACTCCTAAGTATATGCCCAACAGAAAAGTGCATGTGTGCACCAGAAGACACCTGCATAATGTTCAGAATAGCCCCAAACTGGATACAACAGCAAATGTTCATCAACAATTGAATGGGATAAAAAAATTGTGGTGTATTCGTACAGAATACACCACAATGAAAAAATGTGGTATATTCGTACGGAATACTCCACCACAGTGAAAAAGAATGAACTACTACTATACCCAACAAGGAAGAATCTCACAAGTATAATATTGAATGCACAATGTATAATACTGAATGTATAACAAGGTATATTGAATAGTGATATGAAAGAGTTCATACTGTATGATTCCATTTATATAAAATATAAAGACAAGGAAAACAAATCTACATTAGAATCAAGATAGTGCTTACCCTTGGGGGTGCAGTGGAGAGTGACTAGAACACAAGGAGCTTCTAAGGGGCTAGTCAAGTTCTGCTTTTTGCTCTAGTTGTTGATTACACAGGTAATAAACCTTGTGAAAATTGATCAAGCTGTACATTTATGATTTTTGTGCTTATTCTTATATAAGATATACTTCATTAAAAATTTACATTACATAAAATTTACATTAAAATATATGGGAATATCAGAAGACAAAAGCAAGAAAGGCACAGAAGAAATATTTGAAGTGCTTATGATTGAGAATTTCCTTAAGTAATATCAAACACCAAACCATTGATCCAGGCAGCTCAGAGAACACCAAGGAGGATAAATTAGAAAAATCTATCCTTACACATATATTCAAACTACAAAAAATCAAAGGTAAAGAAAAATCTTGAAAGAAGCCAGGATGCAGGGGGTCAGGGGAGGGGGAATCCTTACCTATAAAGAAGCAAGGATAAGAATTATATTGGACTTCTCTTCAGCGATCATGCAAGCAATGAAGAGTGGAGTGAAATATTTAAAGGGTTAAGAGAACCCATCAACCTAGAATTCTGTATCCAATGAAATTATCTTTCAAAAGTTATGAAGAAGTAGAGATCTTGTATGTAAAAACTCTAAGGAATACAATAAACAACCATTAGAAATAGTAAGTTCATGAAAGTTGCAGAGTATAAGATTAATAAAAGTATCAATTTTATTTGTATACATTACCAATGAACACTCTGAAAATGAAATTAAGGAAACAGTTCCACTTTCAATAGCCTAAAAAAGAATAAAATATTTAAGAAAATAGCCCCAAAATGCAATACTTATATATTGAAAATTACAAAGGAACAGAAAGAAATTAAAGAGTACCTAAATATGGACAGATTTAAATTGTTAAGATGGCAGTGCTTTCCAAATTCATCTATAGATTCAACATGGTACCTATTAAGTTTGTACTGCCTTTTTGTAGAAATTGACAAGATGTTTCTAAAATTACTGTGGAAATGCAAGGGATTCAGAATGACCAAAACAATTTGAGAAAGCGGAACAAAGATGGAGGCCTTACACCATCTGATTTCAAAATTTACTACAAGCCTATACTAATCAAGATAGTATAGTTTTGGCATTAGGATAGACATGTAGATCAATGGCATTGAGTTGAGAGAACAGAAATCAACCCTCACACTTATGGTCAATTGATTTTTGACAAGCGTGCCATGATGAATCAGTGGAGGAAAGAACAGTCTTTTCAGCAAATGGTGATGGAACAGCTGGATAATCACCTGTAGGAAAATAAAGCTCTAACCATGTATTATACCATATACAAAAATAACTCAAAATAGATTGTAGATCTAAATGTAAGAGTGAAAACTATAAAACTCTTAAAAGAGTAAACCTTTATGACATTAGGTTAAGAAATTGTTTCTTAGATATGCCCCCAAAATGAAAGAAATAATGAAAGAAATACATAAATGGACTTCATCAAATTAAAAACATTTGAACTTGAAAGGACACCATTCAGAAATTAAAAAGACAACCTACAGAATGGGAGAGAGTTATGCATATTATATGCCTGAAAAGGGCCTTGTATTATAAGATATATAGAACTCTTAACAACTTAATAATAAGAGACAAAATGGGCAAAGGATTTGAAGAATTTCTCCAAAGAAAATATTCAAATGGTCAGTAAGCATGTGGAAAGGTGCCCAATGTCATTTACCATCAAGGAAGTGCATATCAAAACCATAGTGAGATGCTATTTTACACCAGTAGGATGGTTATAATAAAAAAGGCAAGACAGCAGCACTGTTGGTGAGAATGTGAGGAAACTGTAACACTCATACATTGCTGGTGGGAACAGATAACCTCTCATTGCTGGTGACGCAGCTGCTGTGGAATTAGGCCTCCCCACAGGCATAATTAAAGAGACCACGGAAACCCAAGGACAGAAGATGGGGTGGAATGAGCTCAGAGCTGTTGGCAGCTCCTCCAAATCTTAAACATTGGAGTTTCCAAATGTCCCAGCAATTCCACTTTTAGATATACACCAAAGAAAATGAAACATGTTGACACAAAACATGTGCAGCATTATTCATAATAGACAAAAAACAATTCAAATGTCCATTGACATTGATGTCCCTTTTATCCATTGTGGTATAGCCATACAATGGGATATTACTCAGCCATAAAAAGTAAATAATTACTGATACATGCTTAAATAGGGATGAAATTTTAAAGGTGATAAGTACTATGGAGAAATATAAAGTAGCAAAGAGGTGATAAGAGGACTGGGGCTGAAAATGGAACTTTAAACATTATGGTAGGGCTCGCTGAGCAGGTGATGTGTGAACAAAGGCATTCTGGGGGAGGTGAGGGAGTCATGAAGGTATCTAGTGGGGAGAGCTTTCCAGCACCTGGGTTTTGATCAGAGCTTTGTCACTGCCCATATGAATGGCCTTGGACAAGTTACTTAATGGTCCTGTGCCTTCGTTTCTTTATCTGTAAAATAGCTACTCCTATTTTCTATTAAAATGACTAATAGTACTTATTTTAAAAGTTTGTTGTGTGGGTTAATAATCATAATTAAAATGACAATAAGAAAAAGAAAGTAAAGCATCTAGAACAGTACACTAGCCTAAGTAAAATACTTTACAGTTACTTTTATTAGCTCCTACTGCAAATGCAAAAGCCCGTGCATTCTGAGAAGGAATGATGCCTGTAATGGTGGATAAATGAAGGTGAGGTGGGGCTGGTGCAGAATAATGAGCAAGACGGAAGATTGTAGGATATGGGAGAGGGGGCTCTATGAGACGGGAAATCATGGACAAGTTTTGAGTGGAGAACAACACTAGGTCATGTTTCGACACTATCCCTCTGGCTCCTGTGCTGAAGAGGGGATAAGGATGCATGCAAGGAAACCAGTTCTGAAGTGTAAATCAGAGATGGTGGTAGTGAGAAGTCGTCAGATTCTGGCTCTAATTTGAAAATAGAGACAAGCTCTATTGAAAGATTGGATATGAGAGAGAGACAAACCATGGTTTTGACCTGAGCAGTTGTCAGAATTAAGCTTACATTTATTGTTATGAGGGAAGTCACAGATGGCGACTTTTTTTTTTGAAGTTTGGTGGGGGTCGGGGTCAGCGGTATTAGTTGGGGTCAGGAATTAACACTTCAATTTTGGACACGATAAACTTGGAATGCCTATTACACATCCAAAGCAGAGTGGTGTTCAGGGGAGAGTTTACGACAGGAAAGAAGATAGATCATTCGTTCTTTCACAAGTGTTTATTGAAAACGTACCCAGTGCCAGGTCCTCTTCTGGGCTCTGGAGATACTCGTGAGAATAACGACCAAACTCCTCATGACCTCATCTAACGGTGAGACAGGTCATAAGTCAAAGGTCAAGCGCCATTAGTGTATGTAAAGTCTTTAGCTCTCCAAATGGCACAAAATGTACAACTGCCAGCGTTGATTTTAATATGAAGAGTACTGCAAGCGCCAGAGGTGGGTCTGGCGACCAAGGGGCACCTCCTCCTCACAGCTCGCGTCAGCTGGGTATCTCCGCCAATGCAGGCAGATTCCCAGCGCCGCGGAACGGCAGCATTGCGCAGGCGTCCTAGGAGAAGGACTCGGAGAGCCTCCGCGCAGGCGTAATTCAAGAGACCGAGGAAATCCGAGGACAGGAGATGGGGCGGGGCGAGCTCGGAGAGCGCCTGCGCACCGCGAGGAGCCGCAGTCTCGAGCGCCAAGGTGGTCTCTCGGTTGTCTTTGGCAAACCACTCCCGTGAGCCCAGCGTCGTTGGACTGCACCCAGGGCGGGGACGTCCGACGGGCACAGGGGAGAGCCACGATGCCGGTGAGGAGAGAAGCTTAGCCGTAGGGGTTCCTCATCCCAGTGGCCTGGCTCGGGGGCGCGGCCGTTGCCATGGAGGCGCGGAACTGTCGGGCTGCCGGAGTGGGGCGGGGCAGGCCCGGTCGGGCGGGCTCCCGAGGCTGGGGGTTCTCGCTGGGGGGCCCGCGGGCCGCAAGGGTCTAACTCGCGCTTGGAGGGTCCCGGCGCAGGCCCTGCCGCCTTCGTCGCTCCTGCATCCCTCAGGGCCTGCGCTGCTCGACATGAAGGCGCTGTGCCAGGCGATGCGCTCTCGCTCCCAGCCCTGTCCGCTTGTTAGGGCGTCTGGAAGCGGCCGCGGAGGGTCGGTTTTGGATGTTCGGGGCCGGTGGGCTCTCTACATGGCGGAGCCAAGCTCCGGAAGGCAGCAGAGTGCGGGCTGCTTGCCCCTGTATCAGGCGCCTGACTCGAGCTGTCCTTCGTCTCGTGCCGCTTTACAGTGCAGAGTGTAACCCGTAGGTGCCTTTGTGTGTGAGGAGGTGGGTTGTGGGTGGTGGTCGGTTTGTCTTGTGGGATTTCACAGATTGTTACCGTGTAATTAATAAAGGGCAGTCTTTGTAAGTCCTGTATAGCGTTCTAGAGAACCCTTGAGCCATGGCCAGTTATTTACTGAGACCACGGACAATTATTTAATCTTTCTGGGCCCTTAGTTTCCTCATAAACTTTTCCTTATGGGGTTGTTGCCGGGTGAAATAAGATAATGCATAGGAGGGTTGAAGGGCATTGATTGACATTTAGTATTAAATGCTCAGTATTCCTTGTCATTGCTTTCAAGTTATTTATCAATTCATTCAACAAATATTGGGCACCAACCACATGTTAAGCACTTGGAATACAATATTGAACAAACCCAGACAGGTTCTTGAACTTGGGAAGACAAACTTGAGTACTTGGGCAGGGGTGAAAACCACATGTTTACAGAGGTAAGACACTTAACATGAATGAATGCAGTGAATGGGTGCCATACACCAGATAGGAGTACATTCTGGTGAATTATAAAGTGTTCCCATGTAGGATTTCTGGCTTACAGATGTCAGATAATTTGCTTTTTTAAGAGAATCTAGAAATTGCTTTTTTTGTTTTTAAATCTTAGCAACTAATTAAAAAAATATTTTTAAATACTACCAAGTATTTAGTACCAGGTTTGGCTACCAAGCCAAGCAAAAGACATTTGTGGGCTGATTCAGCCCCTTGACTACTAGTTTGCCACCTCTGGTAGACAGATTTTAAATAATGAGCAAACAAAAGGAGAATTGTAACCAGATGTAGAAGAAGGAGGGAGAAGAGTGCTGTCAGGGCCTATACAAGGATTTGACCTAATCAGGGAAGTCTTCCTAGATGAAGTGGTTAGTGAGCTGAGAGCTTCTGGATAAGTACAAGTGAGAGTGAGGAGTGTTCTAGGCCAAAGGAACCGCTCATGGAAAGGCCTCTGGTGAAAAAGAGCCTGGTGACAAAAAAAAGGCCTAAATGAAGCCAGTGTGGCTGTGGCTAAGAAAGCCAAGCAGGGTAACTTGTGAAATAAGACATGAGCCAGAGCCAGATCTTACAGACCACCTTAAGGATTGTGATTTTTATCCTAAGATCTGTGGGAAACCATTGGAAAGTTTTATGTAAGGGATTGACATAGAGTTGGGTTGAAGCTGACTGCCACGTAGAGGTCAGATTGTAGGGGAACTTAATCAGATGCAGGAGTATCATTTAGGAGTGTCTTGTAATCCAGAGTGAAATAATGGTGACCTGGACTAAGGTGGTAAAAGTAGATATGCAGAGAAGTGTATTACATTGATAGAATCTGTTCATTGTCAATGACAGTGGGTTATATTTGTTTCTCAAGTGCTTAGAAGAGCATATGAAGCAGTATGAATTTAACAAATTATCTGTTCAACTAAACTGTTGGACTATACTTCAATAATAAGACTATTTTGTATTAAAGCATAATCAACATATTATGTTAGTTTCAGGTGTAAAATATAATTTGATATTTGTATACATTGTGAAATTATCACTACAGTAAGTCTTGTTACCAACTCTAACAGACTTAAAGAAATTTTTTTCTTAGCATGAGAACTTTTAAGATCTTTATTAGCAGCTTTCAACTACACAGTACTATAATATTGACTATAGTCACCATGTTGTATGTTATTTCCCCATAAGTTTTTTTTTGTAACTGCAAGTTTGTACCTCTTGATCCCCTTCACCCATTTCACCCATCTTCCTACCCCCATTGTCTCTAGCAACTACCAATCTGTTCTCTGTATCTGTGGGTTTCATTTTGTTTGTTCATTTGTTTTGTTTTTTGATTCCACATATAAGTAAACTCCTATGGTATTTGTCTTTAGGATTATATTTTAACAGATTCTTAATCAAAATTTCAAAAGTTAAAACTTTACATATACAAATGTTCATAAGGTTAGTTTTACTAAAACATTTTTTTCTGCCATTGGACTTTTTCTTTCATTTATTGTTGTCTTATATAACGAAGATAGACAACTTATGTTTTATGCTAAACATTTAGCAAATAAATGCCTTATAGGGAATAAAACTAAAAGTCTCAGGGGAACATATGACCTACTACTGTATTCTTTCTTTATTTATTTATTAAGGTATCATTGATATACACTCTTATGAAGGTTTCACATGAAAAACAAAGTGGTTACTACATTCACCCATATTATCAAGTCCCCCCCATACCCCATTGAAGTCACTGTCCATCAGTTACTACTGTGTTCTTGATTAAGTTGTTAACCGTGTCACATGTTTTCCTACAGGGAGGAAACTCAGAGGAAGTCAGGGACTTTTGTGCAGAAAGACAGTCTATATTATACTGGTTCGTTTTCTGCTTCAGTGACATTTACTATAAATGTAAACTAGATCTTGACTCCCCTCATTTGTATTGTAAAAGAAACTATGTTCCTTTTCATATCTTTTAATAAGCTTTTTCTATATATCTGTAAGATCTTTAATTGCATTGAACAAATATTTATGGAGTGCTTAATATGCGCAAGGCATTGAGATGGCAAAGTAGCCATTTTCAAATTTTAATCTAGTGAAGGTAGAAATGTGTTCTTTTCATTATTTGTAAATATTTTCTCCACCAGAGCAATAAATCAGAGAAGCCGGAAAGCTGTGATAATGTGAAGGTGGTGGTTAGGTGCCGGCCCCTCAATGAAAGAGAGAAATCAATGTGCTACAAACAGGCTGTCAGTGTGGATGAGATGAGGGGAACTATCACTGTACATAAGACTGATTCTTCCAATGAACCTCCGAAGACATTTACCTTTGATACTGTTTTTGGACCAGAGAGTAAGCAACTTGATGTTTATAACTTAACTGCAAGGCCTATTATTGATTCTGTTCTTGAAGGCTACAATGGTAAGTACTTTATGTAGTTCACTTTTTTTAAACATCTTTATTGAGGTGTTATTAATACCCCATTAGTTTACCCATTGTAATCATACAGTTTGATGAGTTATAGTAAATACAAACAGCTGTGAAAACATCACCACAATGTACTTTGTATTACCCCTGAAAGATCCTTTATGTCCACTTGCAGTCCCACCCCCAGACAACTGTTGACCTAGTTTCTGTCTGTAGTTTTGCCTTTCCTTGAAATTCATGTAAATCAAATCATACACAGCATCATCTTTCTTTCACTAAGCATAACGTTTTTGAGAGTTGACCATGTTGCATGTTTCAATAGTCCCTTTTCATTGCTGAATTGTTCTCCATTGTATGAATATACCATGTTTTATGATCTTTGATGGAAATCTGGATTGTTCTAGTTTTTGGCTATGATAAATAAAGTTGCTATGAACATTCTTTGGTAAGTTGTTGTGCAGATGTGTTTTAAAGCTTCTTGGGTAGAATGCAATTGCTGGGTCATCTGGTTAATGTATGAAGAAACTGCCAAACTGGTTTCCAAAGTAGTGACTGTACTTCTGTTATTGCCTACCAGCTGGTAAGAGGGTTCCAGTTTCTTCACATTCTTACCAACATTTAGATTATCAGTCTTTTTAATTATAGCCATTCTAGAAGATCTGTAATGGTATCTCACAGTTTTAACTGTTATTTCCCTAGTAACAATTTTGAGTATTGATTTATTTTGGCCACTCGTATGTCTTCTTTGGTAAAATATTTCTTAAAATTAGTTTACCCATTTTTAAATCTGGTTGCCTGTCTTATTATTGAGTCATGCTTTGTATATATTCTGGATTCAAATCCTTGGTCAAATATGTGCTTTGAAAATATTTTCTCCCAGTGTGTGGCTAATTTTTCATTTTTCAGTAATGTTCTTTGAAGAGGAGATTTCGAGTTTTGATTAAGTCCATTTTACCATCATGCTTATGGTGACATAGTTAAGAAATTTTTACAGACCCAAGACCACAAAGATTTTCTCCTATGTTTTTATCTAGTTGTAAACATCTTAGGTCATCCATTTGTGTCTGATCCATTTTGAATAAATTTTTATAAATAATGAGGAGGTAAGGGTCTAAATTCTTTTTCTTTCTTTTTTTTAACCTCCTGCCTATACATGTCCAGTTTTTTTAGCACCTTTTGTTGCGATAACTATCCTTTCCCTATTGAATAAAGTTTGTGCTTTTGTCAAAAATCAGCTGACCACAAATGTGTGGATTTATTTCTGAATTGTCTATTCTGTTCCATGTTTCTCCCATTTTGATTACTGTAACTTTATGTTTTGAAATTAGATAGTATATGTTCTCTAACTTTGTTATTCTTTTTCAAAACTGTCTTTTCCAGCTCCTTTACATTTTTATATAAATTTTAGGATCACCTTGTCAATTTCCATTAAAAAAAAACATGCTCAGATTTTGATAGGGATTGTGATGAATTGTTCTGACAATACTGAACCTTTCAATCCATGAACATGATATCTCTCTCCATTTATTTATGTCTTGTTTAATTTCTCTTATCAGTATATTTTAGTTTTTAGCATATAGATTTTTTTTTTTCAAAATCAGTCTTTATTTTTGGTCTTAGGGATTGCAGTTTATGGATCACAGGAAAGATGGAGGGATTTGTTCACAAGTCAGTAACTGACAGCCAATACACCACATTTCCTTAATACATCAAAATGATAGTTTTTATTATTTATTTTTTATTAAGGTATCATTGATATACAATTTTATGGTTTCACATTGTGGTTACAATATTCACCCATATTATCAAGTCCCCCCAACACTCCATTGCAGTCACTGTCCATCAGCATAGTAAGATCTTGTACTTCTTTTGATAAATTTGTTCCTAAGTATTTTTTGATGCTATTCTGAATGGAATTGTTTTTTATGATTTCATTTTTGGAATTGTCCATTGTTAATATGCAAATTATTACTTAAGTAGGTTTTTTAATTGAGATGAAAGTCCACATAAAATTCACTATTTTAACCATTTTACAGTGTACAAGTCAGGAGATTTTAGTACATTCATACTGTTGTGCAACTATCACCATTATCTGTTTGCAGAACATGTTTATCACCCTGAATAGAAACTCTGCTCATTAGCAGTCAATCCCAATCCTGCTTCCTTCTACCCTGGCAGCCACTTACTGACTTTTTCTGTGTGTATGAACTTGCCTGTTCTGGGCATTTCATTTGAGTAGAATCACATACTACGTGTGTTTTTTTTGTGTGTGTCTGCTTTCACTTAGTGTAATGTTTTCAGTGTTCATCCATGTTTTAGCAAGTATCATTACTTCATTCTTTTTTATGACCAAATAACATTTCATTGTATGGATATACTTTTGTGTATTTGTCCATCAATACACAAACATTTGGGTTGTTTCCCTTTTTTGGCTACTGTGAATAATACCCTTATGAACATTCTTCTGCAAGTTACATATATGTGTAAACATATGTTTTTAGTTCTCTGAGGTTTATACCTAGGAATGGAATTGCTGGGTCAAAAGGTTTATTGCCAGAATATCTTCCACAGTGGCTGCACTGTTTTTACATTCCCACGAGCAGTGTATGAGGTTTTCAGTATCTCTGCATTTTGCCAAAACTTGTTACCTTTTTGATGTAGCCATCCTAGTGGGTGAGAAGTGGTATTTCATTGTGTTTTGCAGTTGATTTAGGTATACTGATGTGTGTCCTGCAACCTTGGTAAACTTGCTTTCTAGTGGGCTTTTTTCTTTTGGTAAGTTCTCAGGATTTTCTATATACAAGAGCATTTTGTCTGCAAATAAAGATGTACAGCTTCTTTCTTTCCAGTCTTTCTGTTATCTGAATCGCACTGCTTAGAACCTCCATCACAATATTGAATAGAAGAGGTAAGAGTGTACATTTTTGTCTTTTTTATGATCTTAAGGAGAAAGCATTCAATCTTTTACCAGTAAGTATGTTGTTATCTTTAGATTTTTCATAGACACACTTTATCAGATTGAGGAGGTTCCCCTCTGTCCTTAGTTTGCTGAGAGTTTTTTTTCAAAAATGTATACTGGATTTTGTCAAAAGCAGTTTTTGTCCTGTACCTATTGAAATGATCTTTTTTTTTAAGTTTGTTAATATGGTCAGTTACATCGATTGATTTTTAAGTGTGAAACTAGCCATGCTATTTGGTCATCGTGTATTATCCTTTTGTATAGTATTAGATTTGATTTGCTAAAACTTTATTTAATTGTTTTGCTTCTGTGTTCATAAGGGCTGTAAGTATTCAGTTTTCTTGTAATGTTATCTGGTTTTGGTAGCAGGATAATGCTAGTTTCATAGAATGAGTGGGGAAGTAGCCCCTCCTTATTAATTATCTGGAAAAATGTGTCCAGAATTAGTATTATGTTTTCCCTAAATGTTTGGTGGGATTCATCAGTAAAGCCAACTAGACATGGACGTGTTTTGTTGGAAGGATTTTAACTACAGATTCAATTTCTTTAATAAATATAGTGCTATTCAGATTATCTTTTTTTTTGTTTAGTGAGCATTGGTAGTTTGTCTTTCATGGGATTTGTTTATTTCATCTAACTTGTCAAATTTGTTGATAAAAGTTGTTTATAGCACTTGCCTGTTATAATCATGTTAAAATGTAATGATGTAGTGTTTCTCATTTCTGATACTGATAATTTGTGTCTTCTTTTTTCTCCTGATTAGTCTGGCCAGAGGTTTATAAAATCTATTTATCTTCTCATAGAACCAGCTTTTGGTTTAGTTAGTTTTCCTTTATGAGAGTGAGGAGTGTTCTAGGCCAAAGGAACCGCTCATGGAAAGGCCTCTGGTGAAAAAGAGCCTGGTGACAAAAAAAAGGCCTAAATGAAGCCAGTGTGGCTGTGGCTAAGAAAGCCAAGCAGGGTAACTTGTGAAATAAGACATGAGCCAGAGCCAGATCTTACAGACCACCTTAAGGATTGTGATTTTTATCCTAAGATCTGTGGGAAACCATTGGAAAGTTTTATGTAAGGGATTGACATAGAGTTGGGTTGAAGCTGACTGCCACGTAGAGGTCAGATTGTAGGGGAACTTAATCAGATGCAGGAGTATCATTTAGGAGTGTCTTGTAATCCAGAGTGAAATAATGGTGACCTGGACTAAGGTGGTAAAAGTAGATATGCAGAGAAGTGTATTACATTGATAGAATCTGTTCATTGTCAATGACAGTGGGTTATATTTGTTTCTCAAGTGCTTAGAAGAGCATATGAAGCAGTATGAATTTAACAAATTATCTGTTCAACTAAACTGTTGGACTATACTTCAATAATAAGACTATTTTGTATTAAAGCATAATCAACATATTATGTTAGTTTCAGGTGTAAAATATAATTTGATATTTGTATACATTGTGAAATTATCACTACAGTAAGTCTTGTTACCAACTCTAACAGACTTAAAGAAATTTTTTTCTTAGCATGAGAACTTTTAAGATCTTTATTAGCAGCTTTCAACTACACAGTACTATAATATTGACTATAGTCACCATGTTGTATGTTATTTCCCCATAAGTTTTTTTTTGTAACTGCAAGTTTGTACCTCTTGATCCCCTTCACCCATTTCACCCATCTTCCTACCCCCATTGTCTCTAGCAACTACCAATCTGTTCTCTGTATCTGTGGGTTTCATTTTGTTTGTTCATTTGTTTTGTTTTTTGATTCCACATATAAGTAAACTCCTATGGTATTTGTCTTTAGGATTATATTTTAACAGATTCTTAATCAAAATTTCAAAAGTTAAAACTTTACATATACAAATGTTCATAAGGTTAGTTTTACTAAAACATTTTTTTCTGCCATTGGACTTTTTCTTTCATTTATTGTTGTCTTATATAACGAAGATAGACAACTTATGTTTTATGCTAAACATTTAGCAAATAAATGCCTTATAGGGAATAAAACTAAAAGTCTCAGGGGAACATATGACCTACTACTGTATTCTTTCTTTATTTATTTATTAAGGTATCATTGATATACACTCTTATGAAGGTTTCACATGAAAAACAAAGTGGTTACTACATTCACCCATATTATCAAGTCCCCCCCATACCCCATTGAAGTCACTGTCCATCAGTTACTACTGTGTTCTTGATTAAGTTGTTAACCGTGTCACATGTTTTCCTACAGGGAGGAAACTCAGAGGAAGTCAGGGACTTTTGTGCAGAAAGACAGTCTATATTATACTGGTTCGTTTTCTGCTTCAGTGACATTTACTATAAATGTAAACTAGATCTTGACTCCCCTCATTTGTATTGTAAAAGAAACTATGTTCCTTTTCATATCTTTTAATAAGCTTTTTCTATATATCTGTAAGATCTTTAATTGCATTGAACAAATATTTATGGAGTGCTTAATATGCGCAAGGCATTGAGATGGCAAAGTAGCCATTTTCAAATTTTAATCTAGTGAAGGTAGAAATGTGTTCTTTTCATTATTTGTAAATATTTTCTCCACCAGAGCAATAAATCAGAGAAGCCGGAAAGCTGTGATAATGTGAAGGTGGTGGTTAGGTGCCGGCCCCTCAATGAAAGAGAGAAATCAATGTGCTACAAACAGGCTGTCAGTGTGGATGAGATGAGGGGAACTATCACTGTACATAAGACTGATTCTTCCAATGAACCTCCGAAGACATTTACCTTTGATACTGTTTTTGGACCAGAGAGTAAGCAACTTGATGTTTATAACTTAACTGCAAGGCCTATTATTGATTCTGTTCTTGAAGGCTACAATGGTAAGTACTTTATGTAGTTCACTTTTTTTAAACATCTTTATTGAGGTGTTATTAATACCCCATTAGTTTACCCATTGTAATCATACAGTTTGATGAGTTATAGTAAATACAAACAGCTGTGAAAACATCACCACAATGTACTTTGTATTACCCCTGAAAGATCCTTTATGTCCACTTGCAGTCCCACCCCCAGACAACTGTTGACCTAGTTTCTGTCTGTAGTTTTGCCTTTCCTTGAAATTCATGTAAATCAAATCATACACAGCATCATCTTTCTTTCACTAAGCATAACGTTTTTGAGAGTTGACCATGTTGCATGTTTCAATAGTCCCTTTTCATTGCTGAATTGTTCTCCATTGTATGAATATACCATGTTTTATGATCTTTGATGGAAATCTGGATTGTTCTAGTTTTTGGCTATGATAAATAAAGTTGCTATGAACATTCTTTGGTAAGTTGTTGTGCAGATGTGTTTTAAAGCTTCTTGGGTAGAATGCAATTGCTGGGTCATCTGGTTAATGTATGAAGAAACTGCCAAACTGGTTTCCAAAGTAGTGACTGTACTTCTGTTATTGCCTACCAGCTGGTAAGAGGGTTCCAGTTTCTTCACATTCTTACCAACATTTAGATTATCAGTCTTTTTAATTATAGCCATTCTAGAAGATCTGTAATGGTATCTCACAGTTTTAACTGTTATTTCCCTAGTAACAATTTTGAGTATTGATTTATTTTGGCCACTCGTATGTCTTCTTTGGTAAAATATTTCTTAAAATTAGTTTACCCATTTTTAAATCTGGTTGCCTGTCTTATTATTGAGTCATGCTTTGTATATATTCTGGATTCAAATCCTTGGTCAAATATGTGCTTTGAAAATATTTTCTCCCAGTGTGTGGCTAATTTTTCATTTTTCAGTAATGTTCTTTGAAGAGGAGATTTCGAGTTTTGATTAAGTCCATTTTACCATCATGCTTATGGTGACATAGTTAAGAAATTTTTACAGACCCAAGACCACAAAGATTTTCTCCTATGTTTTTATCTAGTTGTAAACATCTTAGGTCATCCATTTGTGTCTGATCCATTTTGAATAAATTTTTATAAATAATGAGGAGGTAAGGGTCTAAATTCTTTTTCTTTCTTTTTTTTAACCTCCTGCCTATACATGTCCAGTTTTTTTAGCACCTTTTGTTGCGATAACTATCCTTTCCCTATTGAATAAAGTTTGTGCTTTTGTCAAAAATCAGCTGACCACAAATGTGTGGATTTATTTCTGAATTGTCTATTCTGTTCCATGTTTCTCCCATTTTGATTACTGTAACTTTATGTTTTGAAATTAGATAGTATATGTTCTCTAACTTTGTTATTCTTTTTCAAAACTGTCTTTTCCAGCTCCTTTACATTTTTATATAAATTTTAGGATCACCTTGTCAATTTCCATTAAAAAAAAACATGCTCAGATTTTGATAGGGATTGTGATGAATTGTTCTGACAATACTGAACCTTTCAATCCATGAACATGATATCTCTCTCCATTTATTTATGTCTTGTTTAATTTCTCTTATCAGTATATTTTAGTTTTTAGCATATAGATTTTTTTTTTTCAAAATCAGTCTTTATTTTTGGTCTTAGGGATTGCAGTTTATGGATCACAGGAAAGATGGAGGGATTTGTTCACAAGTCAGTAACTGACAGCCAATACACCACATTTCCTTAATACATCAAAATGATAGTTTTTATTATTTATTTTTTATTAAGGTATCATTGATATACAATTTTATGGTTTCACATTGTGGTTACAATATTCACCCATATTATCAAGTCCCCCCAACACTCCATTGCAGTCACTGTCCATCAGCATAGTAAGATCTTGTACTTCTTTTGATAAATTTGTTCCTAAGTATTTTTTGATGCTATTCTGAATGGAATTGTTTTTTATGATTTCATTTTTGGAATTGTCCATTGTTAATATGCAAATTATTACTTAAGTAGGTTTTTTAATTGAGATGAAAGTCCACATAAAATTCACTATTTTAACCATTTTACAGTGTACAAGTCAGGAGATTTTAGTACATTCATACTGTTGTGCAACTATCACCATTATCTGTTTGCAGAACATGTTTATCACCCTGAATAGAAACTCTGCTCATTAGCAGTCAATCCCAATCCTGCTTCCTTCTACCCTGGCAGCCACTTACTGACTTTTTCTGTGTGTATGAACTTGCCTGTTCTGGGCATTTCATTTGAGTAGAATCACATACTACGTGTGTTTTTTTTGTGTGTGTCTGCTTTCACTTAGTGTAATGTTTTCAGTGTTCATCCATGTTGTAGCAAGTATCATTACTTCATTCTTTTTTATGACCAAATAACATTTCATTGTATGGATATACTTTTGTGTATTTGTCCATCAATACACAAACATTTGGGTTGTTTCCCTTTTTTGGCTACTGTGAATAATACCCTTATGAACATTCTTCTGCAAGTTACATATATGTGTAAACATATGTTTTTAGTTCTCTGAGGTTTATACCTAGGAATGGAATTGCTGGGTCAAAAGGTTTATTGCCAGAATATCTTCCACAGTGGCTGCACTGTTTTTACATTCCCACGAGCAGTGTATGAGGTTTTCAGTATCTCTGCATTTTGCCAAAACTTGTTACCTTTTTGATGTAGCCATCCTAGTGGGTGAGAAGTGGTATTTCATTGTGTTTTGCAGTTGATTTAGGTATACTGATGTGTGTCCTGCAACCTTGGTAAACTTGCTTTCTAGTGGGCTTTTTTCTTTTGGTAAGTTCTCAGGATTTTCTATATACAAGAGCATTTTGTCTGCAAATAAAGATGTACAGCTTCTTTCTTTCCAGTCTTTCTGTTATCTGAATCGCACTGCTTAGAACCTCCATCACAATATTGAATAGAAGAGGTAAGAGTGTACATTTTTGTCTTTTTTATGATCTTAAGGAGAAAGCATTCAATCTTTTACCAGTAAGTATGTTGTTATCTTTAGATTTTTCATAGACACACTTTATCAGATTGAGGAGGTTCCCCTCTGTCCTTAGTTTGCTGAGAGTTTTTTTTCAAAAATGTATACTGGATTTTGTCAAAAGCAGTTTTTGTCCTGTACCTATTGAAATGATCTTTTTTTTTAAGTTTGTTAATATGGTCAGTTACATCGATTGATTTTTAAGTGTGAAACTAGCCATGCTATTTGGTCATCGTGTATTATCCTTTTGTATAGTATTAGATTTGATTTGCTAAAACTTTATTTAATTGTTTTGCTTCTGTGTTCATAAGGGCTGTAAGTATTCAGTTTTCTTGTAATGTTATCTGGTTTTGGTAGCAGGATAATGCTAGTTTCATAGAATGAGTGGGGAAGTAGCCCCTCCTTATTAATTATCTGGAAAAATGTGTCCAGAATTAGTATTATGTTTTCCCTAAATGTTTGGTGGGATTCATCAGTAAAGCCAACTAGACATGGACGTGTTTTGTTGGAAGGATTTTAACTACAGATTCAATTTCTTTAATAAATATAGTGCTATTCAGATTATCTTTTTTTTTTTTGTTTAGTGAGCATTGGTAGTTTGTCTTTCATGGGATTTGTTTATTTCATCTAACTTGTCAAATTTGTTGATAAAAGTTGTTTATAGCACTTGCCTGTTATAATCATGTTAAAATGTAATGATGTAGTGTTTCTCATTTCTGATACTGATAATTTGTGTCTTCTTTTTTCTCCTGATTAGTCTGGCCAGAGGTTTATAAAATCTATTTATCTTCTCATAGAACCAGCTTTTGGTTTAGTTAGTTTTCCTTTATTATTTTTATATTTCCTATTTCAGTGATTTTTGCTTTCATCTTTATTGTTTCTTTTCTTCTACATACTTTCTTCTTCTTTCACTATTTTCTTAAGATGGAACCTGAGGTCATGTTTTAAGACCTTCTCCCTTTCTAATGTAGATTTAATGCTTTAAATTGCCCCCTAAGCACTGCTTATTGGTATCATACAGATTTTGACATAGTATGTTTTAATTTTTTTGCAGTGCAAAATACCTTCTACTTTCTTCTTGATATCTTCTTTGATCCTTGGATTATTTAGAAATGTGTTAGCTTCCAAGTATTTTGAGATTTTCCAGGATCTTTCTGTTACTGATTTATAATTTAGTTCCATTTTAGTCAGAGATTATACTTGGTATGACTCAGTCTTTTAAAATGTGTTGAGATTTGTTTTATGACCCAGAATGTGATTTATTATTATTATTAAATATTTTGGATATACTTTAAGTTGTGTATTTTGCTGTTGTTGGCTGGAGATTTCTATTATCATTTATTCATTTATTGTTGCATTATAAACTGTTATTATAACCTATTATTATTACTATTAATTCTGTTACTATCCACTAGATCAATTTGTTGGATAGTGTTGTTCAAATCTTCTATGTACATATTATTTTGTACTAGGTCTATCAGTTATTGAGAGAGCGTCGAATTCCTTGACTGTAGTTTTGTATTTGCTTATAACTTCATGTATTTTGGAACCATGTGAGTAGATGTATAAATGCTTAACAGTTTTATGTCCTTTTAATGAATTAACCTCCTTTTCATTTTGTATTAGCCTCTTTACCCCTGGTAATATTCTTTATTCTGAAACCTACTTTGTCTGATAGTAATACCGATATTCTAGCTTTCTTTTGAACAGCATTAACATGGTATATCTTTTCTCATGCTTTTACTCATTTTTTTTGGTATCATTAATATACAATTACATGAGCAACATTGTGGTTACTAGATTCCCCCCATTATCAAGTCCCCACCACATACCCCATTACAGTCACTGTCCATCAGTGTAGTAAGATGCTATAGAGTCACTACTTGTCTTCTCTGTTCTATACTGCCTTCCCTGTGCACTCCCCCTATATTATGTGTGCTAGTCAGAATGCCCTTTATTCCCCTTATCCCTCCCTTCCCACCCATTCTCCCCACTCCCTTTCCCTTTGGTAACTGTTAGTCCATTC